CTAAGCCAGGCTATTTTCAATCACCTCATATGCATATAAAATATAGTTGATGAATACAAAAGGCTGAATAAGAATCGGTGCATTTGCATTATGGTGTTGGTGAAGAATATTGAAAGTACCACGGACTACTGGAAGAACAAGCATATCCGTCTTCGAGAATGTACATCCAGGATGCTCACATGCTTTAGACATGTGAGGAGACACATGGAAAAGAACATCATGCTTGCTAAAGTAGAGGGTCAGCAAAGAAAGACGAGGAAGACCCTCCATAGGAAGAATTAAGACTAGGGTCGCATGGGTGAGTTCAAGTATAACAATTGTGAGGATGCCCTAGGACCAGCAGCAGTTCATAGTTCAAACTCAACAACAATTAACAACAACAAACAAATATAAAAACAGGATCTGAATGGATCAAATTATTTTCAAGTCATTTCAATGGATCCCAGAGAAAAACTCACAAATATTTCTAAGAATACTAAAATTCCAGGATACAGCAAGCTGAAATTCACAAGGTCTGACACTACAATATAGAATAGAAATAGAGAGAGTGAGGGAGGTCCCATAACACAGAGAAAAATCAAGTCATTGAAACCGGTGAGTAAATGTTAGCAAGAACACACACGAGTCCCTAGAATTCTATTCTCTATGACCTTTAAGTACAAAAGCTATTGAACATGATAACGAGAGAAATGGAAAATATGAGACCTCAAAAAGTTCATGAAAAAATAAATTCTATTTTTCTTTCGTTTACACAAACTTTTTGAAGGCCCTTCATATTAAAAAAAAAATTCATATTTAATATATAAATAGAACTTTCTCAGCTCAGAATCTCTGCCATGGCATCAAGGTTGACTCATAGTGATCCTGCAGGGCAGGATAGAACTGGCTCCTGTGAGTTCCTGAGGCTGTAATTGTTTATGGGAGAACGAAGGCCCCTTTTTCTCCTGCAGGGCCGGTGGTTTCCAACTGCTGACCTTGCAGATTGCTGTTCAACACATAGCCGCTCCTGTTCTGAGAATGCTATTATTCAAAAAGAGGTTGTATGAAGAAGATGAGATTGGGGGCTGGGAAAGGGGGTGGGGAGTCACAGAAGGAAAGAAAATATTTGCAAAACCCTTGCCAATAGAACAGGCATATCCATCGTGGGAGAAGTCCAATCAGAAAATATCTGCTAAAGGAGTGATACCCAAACTATATAAAGAACTCTTAAAACTCAACAATAAGATAACCAACAATTTCACAACAAGGAACAAGAACTCCACAAAAGAAGATGCCCAGATGGGAGCTAAGCTATGAAAAGATGTTTAACCTCCTGCATTACTAGGGAATTGTGAATTAAAAGAACAACGATATACCACTGCACATTTATACAAGTCAAATCCCAAATTCATTGTCATCGAGCCAATGCTGACTCATAGTGACGCTATAGGACAGGGTACAACTGCCCCTTTGGGTTTCCAATGCTGAGATGTTCTTCAGGAGTAGAGAGCCTTGTCTTGCTCCTAAAGGGCTCAGTGGTTTCGAACTGCTGACTTTTCAGTTAGCAGCCCACCAAGATTCCCTATACATTTACTAAAATATCTAAAATCCAAAATGTTGACACCAAATGCAGACCCGAAAGTGGAGCTGCAGTAATCCTCCTTCATTGCTGATGGAAAGGCCAAAGGACACAGCCACATGGGAAGGCATCAGTTTCTTAGCAAGTTGAATGTAGGCTTAGCATAAGATCAAACAGTCCTCCCTCTAGATATTTACCCAAGTGAGACAAAAACATATCCAGATCAAAACCTACCAATGAATACTTATAACAGGTTGGTCAACAATTTCCAAAAACTGGAAGCAATCTAGATGCCTTTCGATACCCACTCAATGCCATTGAGAGCCTTCAGGCTCATAGAGACCCAACAAACTGTGGAACATTCATGCAAGGAGTTCTCGTTCAGTGCTGAAAAATAAGTGAGCATTTCAAGAACGCCATAGAGAAACCTTAGGTACATATTGCTAAGTAAAAATCTGAAAGGAAAAAATAAAACTACGTAGTATATGAATCCAAGTATAGGACATCGTGAGGCAGCCCTGGTGGCATAGTAGTTGGGCGTTGGGCTGCCATCCTCCAGGTCAGCCATTCCAAACACCAGGCACTGCACAGGAGAAAGAGGGGACTGTCTACTCCCATGAACAGCACCCCTCTCGGAGACTCACAAAGGCCGTCCTGTCCTGTTCCATCAGGTGGCTCTGCGTCAGCAGTGGTTTGGGGACAGTGGGTTGAAGGGTCCTGCTGGAGAAGCCGAACTAGAGACAAGGCAAAGGTCAGCAGCGGCCAGGGATCCCGGAGGATGAGTCCGAAATGGATGGGTAGAGTGCTGGGTATTTTTAGGGCAATGCAACTACTTGGTTCCATACTATCGTGGCGTATACATGACGCTATGTGTTTGTCAGCACTAGCACACAAAGTGAATCCAAATGAATGGTAGTTAATAATAATGTGAACTGTTGTCCATGATAATGGGCATGAGCTTAGCCAACGTCCTCTGCCAAGGTAAGATCTTAGGCATCAGAGGGAGTGGGGTAGATGGGAACTCCGTGCTGTTGGCGCAATTTCCTACATAGGTAAAGCTGCTCTGAAAAACGAAGTCCATTTAGAACAACAGTTTGGAGCTCCTCCTCCGAGGAAACGCCTGGAAAATCTACTTCTCAAAGAAATCAGCCACTGAATTTTGTCTAGTATCTATACTGACATCCATGGAGTCGCCATCTGTTAGAATCAACTCAACAGCTTTCAGTTTAATTGTGTTCACTTATATACTCGTCACTTATATGTGGTGTCTACAATTATTTTAATTTATAATTAAATATTGCCTACTGCCTGTTTAGTGGGCTGTGCGTGGAGCAGCTAACTGTAAGGCCAATAGTTTGAACAAGCCAGTCACTCGTGGAGAGCAAGACGGGGCAGGGTGCTCCCTTAAAGATCTGGTCTCAGAAACCCAAAGGAGTCAGTGTGAAGAGGTTGCTCAGTTGGCGTGTTCACATTTGGCCATAAGAGGGAGCCAGTTACTTTGGCAAACTACAGCACCACCAGAAAGTGTCACACTGTGTCCAAGGAGTGTGGCTCAAGTCCCTTACAATGTTTCTCAATTGACAGGTTCAAATCTCTTTCTGCGAGTCCAGGCGAGGGCGTGGAGACCTGCAAAAGCAAATCAGGGCACCCAGCGTTCCTAGAAGTTTTTCATTGGGAATACTTGCTTATGTTTTCTCTTAGCTATTTAAGCCAAAGAGATAGAATCGGTGGCCAATACAGATGTGTATTGGGGGCTTCCATTGTCCAGATACACTACAATGTACACACTGGGAGTTTTTTTGAGTCTAGCCATTTTTAGCAAAGCTCACTTGAGAGGACATTACTGGGATGGCCAATGCACGGCTGGAGAGGACCCGCGGACGGTGGCAGAGGGAAGTAGCAGGACGGTTTAGAGACTCCCCTTGAAGAAGGCTGCAGAGGCTTCCTGTCTTTCAGGTTAGGAAGGTCAGGAGCCCTAGTGATGTAGTGGTTATACATGGGCTGCAACCTACGACGTCTGCAGTTCAAAACCACCAGTCTCCCTGCGTGAGACAGACGGGGCTTTCTATTGTGGTAAACAGTCCCAGTTTGGGAATTTCACTGGGGCAGGTCTCCCCTGTCCTATAGGTTGCCATGAGTTGGCGGAATCTTGATAGCGTGAATGAGTAAGTATTTTCTCTGAGTATCAAGTTTTTATGGATTCTCTCCCCTTTAGAGCCTTAGAGGATAAATATTCTGTCTTATTGGGCTAAGCATCTGGCCATAAAGGGAAAATGAAATTAAGTAATCACCCAATTTAAATTTAACAGCAGATTCATAGCTATCCACTGTCATAATGATATGCCCTTGTAGACTGACTACTCACCACTGCCTTTGAAACAAATCTGCCCGATGCTCACTCTCACTCACGCCATCCAGCTGATTCTAACTCAAAGGACAGGGTTCCAGAGACGGTTAAAATCATCCTGGAAACAGACAACTCATCTTTCTCCAGAGAGCAAGCTGGGTCTAACAGTCCAGGACTGGCCTGCAAAGCCACTGGGATTCCTTTTCTGTGGGGTCTCGGAGACTGACTCTTCACGGGACAGAAGAGACTCACTTATCTTTCTCCCATAGAGCGGCGGGTAGGATGGAATTGTCAAGCTTGCCAATGAGCTAAAAACCTCTTTTGTGCCGGTAAAGACGTACAGCCTCAGAAATCCTAGTTCAGGCTCTACTCAGCCCTGTAGGTTGCTAAGAATCAGAAGCAGTCCAAGGACAGTGAGCGTGAGATTGGGGGGCACTCATTGGACCCAGGAGAAGAAAATATCCTAACAAATTTTTCAAATCAAGCTTCAACTGCCCAGTGTTCCTGTCTCAATGACTGAGACTTTCCAGGGTTGAACGTTCTCACCTGTCATACCAAGAATGCCCCCACTTGGCACGAAGTGGAAGGCATAATCACAGGAAGCTCAAGAGACATATGTGGGGCCCAAGAAAAGCCCCAGGAAAGATTCGCCATCCTCACAGAGGTGGCACAACTCACACAGCCCAGACCCTGGCTTCCCTGCCACCTCTTATCCGGCCTCCTTATTCCTGTAGCTGCTTTTGTCAAAATTGAGTGCTCATAACTTCTTCGTCAATTCCTCGTTGCTTCTTGTGACAACAGCATTACTGGGACTTCAACTCATTTTCTATTGAAGAAGATCTACCTTCCTCTTCCTTTTTAACCCAAGACTGTGCCTTTAAGGGGTACCACTGTAGAGCACTTATAAACAGACAAGAAAAAAATCTAAAAGCCTTCATTATGGAGCTTTTAAAAGGAAAGAAAAAATAATAGACTTAGGATAATACCAGTCACACAACTAGTGCCCGAGAGATATTGATTAAATAAATGGACGCATTACTTGGAGACCATGAAATGAGGGAATGTGGTGGTGGGTATATGGCTGCCCATGCTTACACAGTGACTCCACTTCTGCTTAAGACCGTGGAAGTCTTGCACAAAGTGCTTCTCCTTGGAAACCTGTAGCTGGTGGTGGCCAAAGACATCTTCCATGAAGAAGGACAGAAGCTGTTCTTGAAATCTGCAATTTTTCTATCAATAAAGTATACAATAGTCATTGCACAGGGTAAACTATCAATGGTTTTATTTTAATTTTTGAACGGCACTGACATATCCCCCTGATTATATCTGAAGGGCCATCTGGAAAATTTCAAAGGCAGGAAAAAGGCATCAAACAAGTAGAAAAATGAGAGGTCAGAAAAAGACTCTCTGACTTACCATGAACAGCTTTTTGGTTTTCTTTTTCAAGAGTCTTATATTTTTGATGCAGTCTTCCTACAAGAGAACAATGGGAAATAGATTTTTCCAGGAATATGAGTGGTCTAAGGAGTGGCTGATACTTACTGGAACGGTTGCTTTGAGCCACGCCGCCCTGATGAAGAGGCCGTCCACAGCTTGGATCAGAGTGCCCTTTGAGCAGCAACGTTTGCT